GCCATTGTCGCTTCGTCACCAACTAAACATGATAATTTTTCGATAGCATGAAGGACATTTCAGGTCATTCTCTTCGTTATGTTTTCTTTCATTGATCCTAAACTTTATATGTTGTTCACGAAATCACGATCTTGTTATGGTTAAGTTTTACGATGCACAAGTCCTCGTTCAACCATTTTTACTGCGTCATGCATCAAACATGAAGAGTAGGATGAAGAACAATTTTGCTTAGTTCATTCTCCCAAATACGTTTCGCTTTTGATTAAAATTTTCAAAATTCCTATTTCCGAATTATGGCCAGGTTAGAGCAGTCACAAGTCCAAATTTGACCATTGTCGCTGCGTGACCGACCATAAGAATTAAAGACTTGCATGAGGCTCATTTCTTCTCGTAACATTATTCTTTTGATAGAAAAAAATTAACCCATTGATTTCTTACACCGGTGAATAATTAATTCTGCGTCTTTAACGAAATTGTATGCCATAGAGAAACATTAGTGTTCACTAATGGCTTTTTCCTTTATAGACGAATTTAAATAGTTGATTTTAAAAAGGAGTTGGATCGAATCGTCCGTTTAATAATCCTATAGAATGGATACTTTTACGCTGTATTTATTAGTGTAATGGACGTTCATTTACCATAATTACTAGCAAATTGCATTTACCTCTTTTCACTTCGCATCGATAGTCTTCTAAGAAATGGATCGTTAGTGTCGCTTTGGAAACAAATCACCAACAGACATGGACATAACGAAGTTATTGGTAATGGTTACGCTGGTTTGGTCTGAAGCATTAATCTTAGGTTGTCGTACGTCTTGAGCGAAGGAGAAAAACCTTCTTTTTCAACTTGACAAACGCTCACTGGCAATTAACAGCTGCTTAATAGACTTCTTATACATCCAACTTGAAAAGAGTAAGCTCTCCCTGTGGGTGCCGGCTGCATCGAGGTGTTTCCCAGGGGGCACTGCGTGGAAGTCAGTGTTGGTCTTGCCTTATGTACCGTTGGGGGTTATAGCGAACCAACTTGTCATCATCCTTTACTAATCTAAATATATCGTTATTCTGTGAAAACAGATCACAAACTTGTAAAAATTTATGAAACTGTTGTGATATATTTAGTTTCAATTTATGTTTTATTTATTATACAGCACTAACGTTATTCAAACTCCTACCAAAAAACCTTTCGCAAGAAATAAAACATCTAAGTAACGAATTGTACGGTCAGTTATTTCATGCTACTATTCATTCTTTCAAGTAGAACATTGGCATTGTGCCACATATGCCATGATTATTTGATATACAGTCCAAGTTCATCAATTTTTGCTGCGTCACTAACGAAATATGATGAGTAGCGTTGTCAGGGCCCTTTCTGCTCACTAATGTCTTTTCCTTTTTCTTGTTTGTATTTAGATAGTCGATTTGAGAACAGCGATCCAATTGACCGTTTCGTTTTTAGAAAGCGGTTCATAGGAAGATCTCTGTTCAATCACACATTTCATCATCACCTGTCCTTCTGAATGAGATTTCTTTCCCTTCTGAAAGCGATTTCTTTCCAAACTCGTTAAACTACGAGGTTTCTTCGATCGTAGACTTTTCTTCGCGATTGCCCTGTAATTCACTCATTTAAAAATGATATAGCATCAAGAGAATATGTGATGTATTTAAAACTGAATTGGTTATAAATGATCAGCACAATGTTTGATTGTAGGAGATATTTATGGTTGAATAAATCGGTTTTGAGCTTAAAATGTATCGATGTAACATACGTTTCCTATAAAATAAACTCCGTGCACTTTCCCTTCTTAAATGTATAATTGGCATTGAAACAGCAGACAATGCCGTTATCAGTGTAGAAAATTATAAAAAGCTTTCAACTCTCCACTCCGATTATCCTGTACAAAAATGTACAAGTTGCACCTGAATGTGTCCATTCGAAACTGTTTCTTTTTTCCTCCGTGCTCCGGACAATAGAACACTTTTGTTGTCATATCGTCGAGCAACATTTCAAATAAAATGGTCGGTCCAGCTTGAATTTCAAATTAGCATCTACGTACAAAATAAAGGTTGTTTACCATTTTAAATGTTGTTGTTGTTTTTTTCTTCCTTTTAACAGCTATAGAAAAGGAAAACTGACTGTTTATACTTGCGAAAATGCTTCGCTACATAAAAATAACTGTTCATAATTTAGTATTTGGATTTTTTTTTAATTTGTGACAGGCGCGCGCTTATGCTTGAAAACTCACTCCAGTTTGATAATAAATTTCTTAACCCGAATCATTACTGTATTCACATTTTTAAAACAAAAACAAATATTTATAAAACTATTGCACTTTCATCCTCAAAATACAAAACTGAGTTTTCAATGGCGTTTCTCATTATCCCCTTTCGTCTAAGTGATTGAAAAATACTCGTTTTTATAATTGTAAATCCAGTACATTCATGTCTTATAATATATCTACGTAATAAATAAAAACGTATAAGGAATTTTTTTCGGGAGAGGATAAGCCAGCTCAGGAGAGACAAACGATCGCGATTTTTCAAGGAAGAAAATCTGCAGTCTTGGTTCAAAATGAATGTATAAGGTGTGCCGTGGATGGACGTCAAATATTTCGGGAGGTTATCCTACTTGTCAAATTCGACTGAATAGTTTCTATTGTTCAAAGTCTGAATCTCAATAGTATTCGGAATATTTTAACTTTTCGATTTACTTCGACCTTTCACAATTTTTTTACATAAACCCCCGTATCTCACAAAATGATTATCCTACAGTAAATACATCAATACATACATAAATTGAAAGAGCATAAAAATTCTATGAGATAAGTTTTTTTTTTTTATTGTATCCTTACGTAACCAAAATACAAAATCACTAAGGCATTTACGACTATGCAAAATTCGTGTCTAAGTTAAGTAAGATTTTCTTTGTTCTGTAAAAACTGATAGATACCCCTATTACTGAGCTGTATGTACTTAATTTCTCGAAGTTCATTTATTAATAATATAAAATTAACGTTTAATTCCAAACATTTGATTTTTAGGTTACAAACAGTTTAAACAATTAGTCATTAAGATTTCGAAATTTCTAATAAAATATATATAATAATGAAAGTATTACAAATTACTTTTTGGTACAAAATTAAATCAAGCTACAAAGCATCAACAAATTAAATTAATCAATTAATTATTCTTTCTAAGGTTTTGATTGAGATAAAAAAGTCAGTGTCACGGCGGTATTCGAGGTTGAGATGGAGAGTTGGTGTCCGAGAGGATCGAAGTCACGATAGCTCAAGTGGTAGAGCAGGCGGTGTATTTAGCCGAAGGTCGTGGGTTCGAATCCCGCTCGTGACACTGCCTTTTTTATCTCAATCAACACCGTAGATAGAATAATTAATTGATTGGAAGAAGTAACTTAATCAATTGACTACGAAAGCGTAAATAAATAAAATTAAATTAACCAGGGCCAGCCTTGAGTTCTTCAAGAAGGTGTACATTTTGACATTTAATTTTATCAATTAATTAACATTTTAATGTAAGGTTTTGGTTGAAATGAAAAAGTTAGTGTCGCGAGAGGGATTCGTACCCTCGACCTTCGGCTCAATACGCCCCTCTAACCACTTGAGCTATTGTGACTTGATAGCTCAAGTGGTTAGAGCGCTTGGCGTATTTAGCCGAAGGTCGTGGGTTCGAATCCCGTTCACGACACTAACTTTTTCATTTCAACCAAAACCTTACATAAAAATGTTAATTAATTGAAAGAAGTAATTTGGTCAATAGACCACTAAATATAATGGATTTAATTTTATTTTTTCTAATGTTCAATTTTGTACCAAAGAGTCTTTTTTGTTTACAAGTTATATCGTTTACATCATGTTTTAATAGAACTTTCCAAATCTTCATGAACACTTTTTTAAACAGTTTGTAACTTAAAAATCATTTTGTTAGCAATTAAACATTAATTTCACATTGTTGATAGATGACCTTTTAGAAATGAGGTTGATCAAATGAGTATGAGATTATTGCTCGTTAGTAGGGTCAACTTTTCTGCAAGCACCACATCTGTTAGTATTTACAGATCAAAAAAATTCTTTCTTAAATCTTAGACAGGAACTTAGGAAACTCGGAAATCTTATTAAGTAATTTTATATTGAGTTTGTTTAAGATTATAATGAATCTCCTACGGTTTTCAATGCTGTTTTCATTGTAGAGTTCTAATTTACAATAAGATCAACATTTTACGAGTTACATGAAATATCTTGGATAAAATGGAGAATCAGACTTTGGAAAATACTTTTCAGTTCAATTTGACATGTAGAATGACCGCCAAGTATTGACACGGGACACCCTGCATATATTATATTCAAAAATGTTGGTTTTGTGATCTAGGATTATTTTCAGGTCATTAATTGATGGTACCCAAAAAATTAATTAAACTACGTCTACTAAAAAGGGCTAATGGGGAAATTTTTCTCAGAAGGCGAAAAATCGACCGCGGTTTAATTATTGGTGTTTTTTAAAATCTGTACTTTCTCTTCTTTTCTTGAGTTGAGAAGAAAAAGAAATTTGTTAAATTATTTAATTTATTATAATAGGATTGGAAAGTCCTTCAAGGTTTTAAAATAAAGTTACTTTAGCTTTTCCAACTAGTTTTTCTCTCTATTGTGTAAAGTAGGGATTTTTAAACACACTTCTTGAATTTATGAAATACTTAAATTTTTAAGAATAAAAATAAACTTTCACTTTATTGAATCATATTATCATTATATATTTTAATAATTTATACTCTTTTTTACAGTAGACCATATGTTTATATATATATGCATATTTTTACCGCGGGGCTGGGCTGTTCTAAGTCAAACCCTGTACAACCGGAGAACATTTCCCCTTATGTTACATCTTTTGGCCTTTTCCCTCATCTCTTTTTCTATTCTTCCAAAGTTTATGAAAGTCTAGCTAGTGTTGCGATCTGCCGAGGAGGTTGTGAAGTTGATTCTATGTTCACAGCGGCACCCAACCTCCTCAACCAAACCAAGAAGAGGAGAGCTCCGGATCTTCAGGCGCTTCGCCAGATACTTCAAGGTGCATTTTAATCAAACCTGTTGACCGGCATGTTATTTTTGTCCGTTGTCAGTTTTTGTATGATGTTTGTATTGTGTTTGTTTTTGTAGTTCAATTTTTTTCTAATCTTTCTTTCTTGCATGCCATTTGTAAATAGGTGTATACATTCTTTCTTGTCCGTTTATTTTCATAATTTTTTAAAATTATTTTTACACTGTTTTATTTAATTTATTTTGTTTAATACATTTTATTTTTACACATATATTTATATGTTACAGAATTTATTATGTCTGATAATTAGATAAAATTTACTAGCATGAGATTTTTTTGCATGATTTTGTTTTGTTTGTGAAGTTTTATTTTATGACTGGTAGTTTTTCTTTTTTTTAAATTAACATTTTTTTAAAACATTGAACGCCAATGTTGATCTTGATAAAAAGTCACTCTCTTATAAAATTTATCACCACTCCAGTTTTTTAATAGTGCGATATTCAAACCGAACGACAAAATGGTGAAATATATCGATTCGACACAATTAGCTTAGTAATTCAAATCGTGTAAATGGTTTTGAGAGTGAGATTAGGAATCATTGATAGGGGGACTATCTTAATGTGAGACCGAATTGTTCGATAGTGCATGACGATGAATTGAAGAATGCGTGTTCAATGGAAGTTCGTTTCTTTTTACTATGCCTGCAGCAGGTTGTCGGCGAAATGGAATCCGACATGCGTTCCCAGGTGGGATTACAATTGGGATTACAATTAAATGATACTAAAAGGCGATTACATTTTTTTTTGCATGGGGGGGAGGATTAAAAATATTATCCGTCTTTTATCTCTGTTCAAATGCGCGATATCGGTATCGAATTGCGCTTCTGGTACAACACATATTTAATTTATTTATAATTTTCTATTCCACTGAGGCCGTTCGTTTTATAAACCGTTCAATAAATCGACAAGAAATATCCCTAAATAATTAATACCTTCATGTCTCGTCTATGCAAAATATCTCTATAACTAAAATAAAAGCAACAATTTTTAGACATTTCCAGGTTTACATTAATGACTATCACCATTATTTTTATAATGCCATGATTTTTTACTGCTAATAAAAATAAAAATATTTACGCGAAACAGTAAAAATATTTGACATATTTAATTATTTGACAAATGAAAATAATCATATAAAACATGATGAAAACGTTTTTTCGTCGCGTTAATTTTCTAGTAATGAATTACAATTAAAATATCCGTCCAAGAAGATATTCTATGAATAAATCAAAGAAAATACACTTTCCGCTGTTTTGAATTGGACAGCGCCCAATACATTCCGTCACCGGTGCTTTATTGCCGTGGTTCTTACGAAATATTGTTTTTTTGACGGGTTTAAAAATTATATAATATCGACTATTAAAATTGAATGAACCAATACACTTGAAAACGATTAAAGGATCTGACAATAATAATAATGCCCGACTCTTTTTGAAAGCTTTCCAATCTCTTATTGTGTTTACTCTTGCTGCGAAATGAAACATTGGAATCTTCCAAAGATCTATCTATTTTTATCAAAACGTTTCATTCTTCCTTTTAAACGTTACCAGATCAAAGGGGGGTGCAGAATATTCTCTAAAAAAAATATGATCAATGAGATCGACTTAAACTTTAAATTTCATCAAGTAAACACGGACATTTCTAGTCGATAATATTTACTTAGCTGAGCAAGCATTCGTCTCTTGTTTCCTATTGATTTGACCATGTATACAAGTCTACAAAATAGTTCAAAATTTGATCAATTAAATTAGTCAAAACAAACCGCAAGTTGATAGTGTGTTCGGTTCCACGTCACCCCAGGAATCTTCTTCCAAAATTGTGAATACGTTTGTAAAATATTAATGAACGTGGAATCTGGCTAATATGTACAATTATAAGGCAATAAATAAAAAAGTTTACATTTGTTCAATTTAATTGTCAAAACGGGACCACGGTCGTGGGTTCGATTCCCACCGTCGCCCATGAAAGTTGTTTTCAATAAAAATAATTAAATAAAAACAGTTTATATTAGATCAGTTAAAATTGTCAAAACAGACTACAAGTTGTTTTGGGTTCGATTCCCACCGTCGCCCGTGGGCCCTGGAACTTTTTTCAATTTCTCCTGCCCCCAAAAATATGAATACTGGAAATATTAAGAAATGTGATATGTGACCTACATTGAAAAGCTTAATGCCGTCAGAAAAAAAATTTAAAAAGTTTATATTATACCAATTAAATTGTCAAAACGGACTACAAGTTGGTCGTGGGTTCGGTTCCCACTGTCGCTCCTGATTTTTTTTCACGTTCCCCTTCCCCCAAAAATATGAATACTGGATATATTAATGAACATGGAGTCTGGCAAATATGAATAACATTAAGGCCATTAATAAAAAATAATTAAATAAAAAAGTTTATATTTGATCAATTAAATAAGACAAAACGTACAAGTTGGTCATGTGTTCGATTCCCACCGACGCCCCTGGAATTTTCTCTCTCTTCTCCCAAAAATATGTATACTTAGAATATTAATGAATATGGAATCTGCCTAATATGCAAAAGCATAAGCCATTGATATTTAAAAAAATAGATAAATTAAAAATAAAACATTGGTCGCTTTTTCAAAAACTATGGAGATTGACTTGAATTTTAAAATGATTTTGCTGGTATACTGTGCTTTCTGTTTTCAAAAATATAAACACTATTGTGGATTGACTTGAATTTTAAAATGATTTTGCTGGTATACTGTGCTTTCTGTTTTCAAAAATATAAACACTATTGTGGCTTTTTCAAAAACTATGGAGTTTGACTTGAATTTTAAAATGATTTTGCTGGTATACTGTGCTTTCTGTTTTCAAAAATATAAACACTATTGTAGTCAGTCACCTTATACAAAAGTAATGTTTCCTCCTGGTCGATAGACCTTGATTGACCTTTTGGTCGATTTGTACGTACCGTCTTCATTTCCATTAATCTCTCGAGTGTAACCGGCCGGTTAATAAATGCTTTTCCTTTCGACTGCCTCTTGGCTGTAGATTTTCATAGAATAATTCAATTAAAGTCTTATTAAATTAAAAAGAGGTGAGGGATGGATAATGGAGGGGCGTGACGTGGAGAGGGGCAGCACGAGAAATTATAAGCAGTGTGAGTTTGAGCCTGGAGGCTATGTGGCCAAGAACCCACAGTGTGGCATGGATAGGGAACAACGGGCGACTACGTGAGTAAATTAGTGTTTTCTTTAAAACCTAGACCTTGAGGCGGTGTCCTTTAAATGCCGAATTCACGCCTGGATGACGAATTCACGCCTTAATAAATCATAAAATTATTATTATTGCTTATTACATAATTCTTATTGTTTTTCTTCAAACAATAAAATAGGTTTCATAATGGGATCGTATCTATTACGTGCACCGAGCTTTTGTATAAAATTTATTGTAGCATAGATGAAAAGAGTGGCGAGGAATTATACTCAAAAAAACTTGACATGACCCACTTTCTTGTGCGGGAAAACAATAATTTCCTATCTCAAATGTCAGAAGTCGTTTCAACATCGAAAGTGTAGTTGCAGTTAGTAAATGGTTGAGAAATTTGGCCACGGAACGTTGTCAACGGGTTCATTTGAATCCGTTATTCCAAGGGAAAGTTCAACTTTCAATCATACGGGCTGCACCATCGCTGCTACACATTCCTTCTTGTGTTCAGCTTGGCATACAGGTTGAAAATTTTGATTCCTTGACAAAAAAGTAAAAACAAATGAATGATTCAAACGACAGTCGATTCACCACGATAGAAATTGCAAGTTCTAAACTTGTTTATTCATAAAATTAAGAGAAAACTTTTTATATTCGGTCCGTTGAACCAAAACTACCGTTGACTCAGAATGAAAGACATTTTTGCAAAGGCTGTAAACTTGGTTGCACATTTTCACAAAGCTTCACCTCACACTCTGCCAATGTTTTCCCTCAAAATGTTTACAAAAACTTACACTATAGTAACATAAAATTGTTGAAACATTAATTGTTTACATTCCGATGACCTTAAGCAAACGATTATGGTAAAAAAAGAATATTCAAATATTCCAAAAAAGTTTTTATTTGTCTAGAATTCGTAAAGCAATTCTCAAGGATCCGACTTAAAGTGACAAGGCTGCCGATAAAAGTAAAAACACTATAACTATCTCTGATCTGACAAAAACTAAAAAAATTGTGTGCGACCAGTTATTTTAATAAAATTCGTCGATTCAAAAATAAAAAAAGTGAAAATAAGTTTTTTTTTATTTCTTCATATATTGTCAGTTGGTATTGTCAGGGTCAGGGTTTCATGGCATAAGCATCAGTTCCGATCTGTTGCGAGGTGAGATTTAAAAATGTTGATCAAATCTAAAAACTAATCGGCCTATTATTCAAAACCAACATATCGGACGTCCTTATTTTCCAAAAAACGTAATTAATCATAAGTGTATCCTCGATTCGTAAAGGTTAGGCCGTGTTGTCCTTTTGCCAACTCGAGCCACAAGCCGAACATTTAAAGTTTCATCACAAAACTTGATTCTGACACACTTTTCTAAGTCTCGTTAACTATAGCAATTAGGGCGATAGTCGAAAGAACGGATCTACTACTTTTTTCCTACCTTTCCACTTTCGGATAAAACTTTTTAAAATAATAAAACAGGCTGTAAAGCTGGGCTGAAGACTTTATATCGCAATATTGATTAAATTCAACAAAGAACTTACAAGATCTTTTGAATGTGAAAGAAATACAATATTTAGTAAATTCGTCGTTCTTAATTTTTAAAAATATATATGTTTAGCTTAACTCATTGACAAATTTAAGGCTGAATGAATCAATAATAAATGAGTAGTGACAAAAAGACAAACTTTTATAAAAGATATGGCTAAAAGAATCCAGTAGTTCAGTAATATAAAAATGTAAATATCTTTTTTATTTCAAAATCATTATTGCTAAAATAAAAGTCATTATGAATACAATTATTAT